GGCAGAATACATGCTTTTTTTTTTTAAAGACTCAGAAGTTTAAAAATAAAGAATGGAGAAATATATGTTTTAAATACTACTAAAACAAAGCTGGCATAGTTACACTAATATCAGATGAAGTAGGTTTTAAGGAAATTTATCTTCCTGGATATAAAAAGGAACATTTTATAAATTAAAAAGTACTAGTTTGCCAGGAAGATTTAATAATTTGAGGAGCACTGCTATATCACATTATTCTCAGTAGCTGGTGGCACAGACCTGTTGGACAATTTTTACATTTTTCCAACTTCTGATTAACTCCCCACTCTCAATTCCAGTTTCTAGAAAGTGTAGGGATGAAGATCAAGCTCTAATGGGAAACAGAATAAATGAAAGTTGAAGAAAGAGAAATTTAGAAAAAGTCAATTAAATTGAATGGAAAAAATTAAGTACAGAGAAGTAACTTAAAGGAGAGGTATGTTAAAGGAAGGGCTGGTTCAACCACCATTTTCCCTTTCTCCATGCAACTTTATGTTCCACAAATGAGAAAGGCTTAATTTTCTAGAGGAACTAAATGAGAGGCTTTGAAACTTGAAGAAACTAGGCATTATAGAGAGGAAAGAAGCATTGTAAATTATTATGAGTGATTTTTCTTGTCATTGTCCTAGTTACTTTTCTTGTTGCTGAGACAAAATATCCAACACCCAAAGTTAAAAGGGGAAAAATTTATTTAGCTCACAGTTTGCAGAGGCTTCAGTCTGTAATTGGTTGGCTCCAAGGCAAGGTGGCCATGACAGAGGGGCAACAGTTTGTGGCGGATCAAAGATAGCAAAGCAACAAGGGAGGACAAGCCTCTTTAAGTCCTTTATATTGTATCCAGGCTACCAGGATCAGGGCAGTGACAAGTCAATCAGTGTACTGATTTAGTAATTATACAACCTTAATCCCAGCATCACACACCCTAGATTCAGCCACCTCTGAAAAAGCCCCATCTAAGACTGCATGAGACTTTGGGAGGACATCTAGACATAAACTACAACAGTCACTAAGTTTTAGTGTGGTGTTTTTATTCAACATAAGGTAATGATAAAAAAAATTAGAGACTAAGACAGAATTCTAGGAAATTAAAATTGTGATACCCAGATTAAAAAAAAATTTTCAGTAGAAATTATAAGAAGATAAATCAAGAAATATAGATTTAAAAATATATAGGCTCAATGCAGATGTGCAATATGCAACCAAGCTAGGGATGTAGCTCAGCAGCACAGCACCTGCCTGGCAAGTGTGAGGTCCTGAGTTTGATTCCTGGTACAAAAAAAAAAAAAAGAAGCTACCAATATGCAACCAAATAGGAAGAAAGAAGAGAGAAATTAAGAGGGTGAGGGGAAGGAGAAAGAAATTATAATATTTGCTGTTAGTGGACCGTCCCTAACACTGCATCCTTACCAATTCAGTGTACCCCATAACCAGCACCCACATTTACTAATGTGAGGGCTTCCCCTGGTTACTGGAGTCTGCTTTGCTGGGTGCGTAGTGCTAGTTCATAGTGCTGGGGATGTAACAACCTCAAAAGCAGCACAGAAGCTGACAAGAGTTAGTATAAAATTGCCCTTACTTTTCAGGGAGGATAACTCTGAGGATCAGACTCCCAGTGGAAACAGTGGGAATAAACTCCAGTTATCCACAGCAGTAACCTGCTAATGAACAACCCAATGTCAGGTGCCCTCCCATCCTATCTCACCTGTCCAGTTCACTACCAAGTTCCTTGGTATCATCTCCAAAATAAACTGCTTGATCTGAATCATTGTCTTGGGGTCTTTTTTTCCTGGGAAAATCTAAACTAAGACAAAAATTAAACATAAAAATTTACCAGAAGTAGTGAACCTGAATTTCTAGATGGAAAAAATTGCCCATCAAATGTCAGGCACAATTATTGAAAAAAGTGCCACAGCTAGGCTATTCATAATTTAATTTCAGAATACCAGAAACAAAGTGAAGACCTTAAAGCTGCTAGAGAAGAGCAAAAAGGCCATATCATAAAGACCAAGAACACAGAGACAGGATGACAAAGAGGATTAAGTATTAAGGGTTAAAATCATATAGGACTCAAAAAGCACAAGAGACAAAACCAAAAATAAACAAGTAGAACTACATCAAACCAAAAATTTCTCCCTATGGATTGGGAGAAAGTATTTGTGAACCATATATTTGATAAGGGTTAAATAGCTAAACATTTAAGGAACTCATACAATTCAATAAGAAGACAACATAACCTGATTAAAGTAGGACCTACACAGACATTTCTCCAAAAAAAAAGCACACATATGGTCAACAGGTATATCAAAAGGTGCTCAACATCACTAATCCACAGGGAAAGGCAAATAAAAATCACAATAAAATATTCTGAACCTGTTAGGATAACTTTTTATCAAAAAGTCAAGAAATAACAAGTGTTGACTAAGTGTGAAGAAACAGAAACCCTGTACTCTATTGGTGGAACTGCAAGCTAGCACAGGTATTCCAGAAAACAGTATAAAAGTATCTAAAAAACATTAGAACTACTGTATGACCCCAAAATCTCTTTTTGGGGTATAACCTCCCAAGCAAATGAATTACCACCTTGTTAAGATACCTGCATTCCTTGTTTGTTGCAATATTACTCACAATAGTCCAGATGTGGAATCACCCTCAGTGTTCATATCAGATGAATGGATAAAGGAAATGTGGTACATGTACATAACAGAATACTACTTATCCTTAAGAAAGAAGGAAATTCTGCCATTTGCCACAACATGGCTGAACCTGGAGAACATTTGTTAAGTGAAATAAGCTAGACACAGAAAAATAATGCGTAATGTCACTTATATGTGTAAAGACAAAAGATACATAGAAACAGTGTAAAATGGTGGTTACCAAAGGCAAAGGAGAGGTAAGTAGAGGAAATGAGAAGATGTGGGTTAAAGCTGCAGTTATGTAGGATGACTTAAGTTTAGGGACCTAATGAACAACATGAGAATAATCAATAGTTAATGATATTGTATTGTATATTGGTATTTTGCCAAGAAAGTAGATTTTAGTCACTCTTATAAGAGAAAGTTGGGGGATGGGGGAGAAAGTAACTATATAAGATGGGTATGCTAATTTGCTTTACTATAATAATTACCTTACTCTGTTTATGCACATTGAGATAGGTACATCAAAACAGCATGCTGTACCCATTAAATATATACAATTTTAAAAAACAAAAACAGCCAGGCATGGTGGTGCACACCTGTAATCCTAGCAGTCAGGAGGCTGAGGGAGGAGGATTACTATGAGTTTGAGGCCAGCCTGGGCTACATAGTGAGCTTAAGTCCAGCCTGAACTGCATAGCGAGACCCTGTCCCCCCAAAACTAACCAACCAATCAATGAAAACAAAAAACAAAAAACTGAAAACAAAAGAATAGGAAAGTTATCAGAACTTTCAACAGCCATTCTGAAAGCTAGAGACAATAAAACAATATCTTCAAAATCCTGAGTAAACAATTTTTAAAGAATTCTACACCTAGCCAAACTTAATTTCATTCATTTAAAATATGAAAAAAAAGACATTTACAGTCATTAAACAGTTCAAAAACTTTACCTGACATTCTTCCACTCATTCCCAAGAATCAACTTACAAAATGATGAAATAAATAGGAAACAAAAGATGAAATGTGTCCAGGAGACAGGATATGTGACATAGGACATTATCAAAGGAAAGTTCCAGAACAATATCTGCCTGCCAGACCTAAGTGGACAGAGCAGTATATGGACTGACAGGTTGATAAGTGTGAATGTTTGGAAGTAGTATTGAGGTGTTTGATAGATCTATTAAAGCCATTTGGTGAAAAGAATAGTGATAAATACTGGAAAATGAAGCAGATGGGAAATGGATAGCAAACGAAATCAGTGGGGACCATGGCATAAATAACATTTACATAATCAAATAATATAAATACTAATTCTTCTATTTAACTAAAAATGCTATATAACCATATTGAGACAGTCAAAGAGCAAGTATTGACTGTCATAAAATTCATACACGGATGTCTGAAATTATTAAATTGATAAATGCAAAACAGTTCCTGTAGGAGCTCTGCTGAGAACACCCTCTTTGCCCCGCCCATCTTTTACGATTCCTCACAGCCCTTCACTAAGGTTAATCCCCTTCCAAGACTCGGTTTAGCAAAGCACTCTCTGCCCTACTTTCTTTTTCTTCTCGTGGCCTAACACTGCACCTGACCCCAGCCCGTTGAGGGTGGGAATCCATCTTTTCTTTGTAATTCTAGTACCTATCAGACAACTGTCACTCGAAATTGCTATAAGAAAGGAAAGAAAGAAGAAAGAAGAAAGGAAGAAAGAAAGAAAGAAAGAAAGAAGGAAAGGAAGAAAGAAAGAAAGAAAGAAAGAAGGAAGGAAAGAAAGAAAGAAGGAAGGAAAGAAAGAGAAAGAAAGAATCAGGGCTGGGAATGGATTTCGAGAACTGGAGAGGCCAAAAAGTGATGGTCTCCCTACTCTTGATACATTTCAATCATCTCATGTTTCTGGAGAGGTTGATGGGGGCTGCTCCCTGTTTCGGAAGAATCTGAAAAAGAAAATTTTCTCTGCTTAGTATGGACTAAGAGAGCCCACTGCTGTGTTCGGTTTTGCACATTTTTTGCAGTTAGTAAGTATTATTTAGAATAACATAACTATTTTTTAAACAACACAATGCAGTGCATGAATGGAAGAGATGGGCGAAGCTACTGGAGACAGATCTGAGTTACACCTGGCTTTCTTTTTTTGTATTCGGTCTCCCTAAATCCGCCCCCCCCCCGCCCCCACCATGGCTTTCTCACCAGTGACCTCTCCCTGCTGGAAGTCTCTAGGGCAAAGAAGCCCACAAAGCCACAGACTGGGCTGACAGGCCCCTGCAGGACCGAGGGTCCGAAGGAAACAGCCACCTCTCTGCCCACGGCTTCCTCGGCAGCGTCCTCCTCTGCCCCTCCCTTCCATCTACCTTCTGGTGCCCGTGGAACCAGTGGGCGGGGGGCGCGGGGAAGGGGCGTAGATCCCGCAGCAGCCGCTGCCTCCGCAGGTACAGCTTGATGACCTGGAGCAGCCCCAGGGCCAGGCCGAACACGAAAGCCAGGTACAAAGGCCGCGCCCCTCGGGTCTCCAGCCACGACGGCTCCATTGCTCTGCGCACGCCCAACGCGCCAGCCCAGTGAGTCTCCTGGGGCCGATGGTGCAGCCAGAGCTCCGGAGCCCCCAGCACGCCGCGTCCCTGAGCCCTGGCTTCTCACGCAAGAAGGAAGGGCGGGGGGGCGGGGGCGGGGGGAGCAGCTCAGGCCTGGGGAGAGGAGCAGACGCTCTTTCCCAGATTTCTACTGGTTATCCACGGATGCAGTCCTTGCTTTAGGCAGACTTTTTATATGATGCTGAGCTGTCATATATTGCTTGACACTTCAATCTCAGAAGATCTGAATTTAGATTCTGAAATAATGCCTAGGCTGGGATAATTGTTTTTCTTCTTTGTCACAAATAAATAATAAGAAGCTATGCAAAGGACCATTTTTCCCACTCTGGAATTCTGTCAGAAGCTCGAGTGTGTTGGAGGGGAAATTCTGTATGATCTTTACAAGTAGCACGCCATTAACTAGTATTTCTCTCGTTCAGATGCAATCAGGGTTCACCACATAATTTATAGGCCCCAGTGCAAGATGAAAATGTGGGATCAAAAATCTAATTTTAAAATGACAACAGCAGAGCATTAAACCAAACATATGTCCAGGGCAATTGTGTCCTACCCGAAGTCAACCTTGGATATAAGACAAAGCCAAGAGCGCAATTTATAGGAAAATATAATAAATACATCAGCTCTCTATAGAATGTGGTTTGTTACACGAAAAGGAAATAAACGAATACTCACTTCTAAGTGCCAAATATTAGTTCTTCTTATTTACTCAGGGTTTTAGAGAAATGCCTTGTGTTCTCACTTAAACATAGTTTCTTTTAAAAAATTTCAATCAATTTTTATTTTTTATTAGTACATGTTTGCCGTACATCATGATTATAGCATTGTGGGGAATCGGTACATGTGCATAAAGTATCTTAATTCTTTTTTTATCCTTCTCCCCCTTCAAGAATTTTTTCTGCCAGCATCAGATTAATCAGATTCATTTATTTTATACGTCTTTATCAAGATAATTATCATATATACAGATTGGTCCATATATACAGATTAACAGTCAGATTAACAGGATCTAAAACATAAAAATATGTAAGAATTATACTAAATCAAGGTACATTTTTAGATACATTGTCCTTGCTGGATTATAATAACATTTTTTCTCTCTCATTTTTCTTTTGTCTGTCTTTATTTTGTACTTTATTTATATATGGGGTTTCTCATATAAAAGAAGCCATGCAATATGCAAGCCTGTGTGTCTGATTTACTTCAGTTAACATTATGGTCTCAAGATGCATCCATTTTTTCTGCAAATGACTCAAGTTTATCCTACTTTATGGCAGAATAGTATGCTATTGTGCAAAAACACCACATTTTCCTTATCCATCATCTGTTGATGAATATACAGGTTGCTTCCAAGACTGAGCTATGTAAATTGTGCTGCTATAAACATGGGTATGCATACATCTCCGTGATATCATGTCTAGATACCTAGATGGGGAAGAGCTAGGTCAAATGGAATTTCTAGTTTTAGTTTTTTGAAGAATCTCCATACTGATTTCCACAGTGTTTGTACCAGTTTACATGTCCATCAAAAATGAAGAACAGTTCTTTTATTTTGCTCTATTTTGGGTTTCTCATATAAGAGAAACATGTGATATTTAAGCTTGTGCATCGATTTATTTCTTTAACATTATGGCCTCAAGTTACATCTATTTTCCCTTGAATGACTCAAGTTTATCTTTTTTATGACAGAGTAGTGCTCCATTGTGTGTAAATACCACATTTTCTTTATTCATTCATCTGTTGATGGACATATAGCCTGCTTCTAAGATTTTGCTACTATGAATTGTGCCACTATAAACATGGGTGTGATGTATTACTGTAATATGATGTCTTTAACTCTTTTGGGAAGATACTGTGCCTAGAAGGAAAATAGGTGGGTCAAATGGAATTTCTAGTTTTAGTTGTTTGAGGACTCTTCATACTGATTTCCATAGTGGCCGTGCTAGTTCATATTCCTACCAATAAATGAGGAAGTTTTCCCTTTTCCCAAGCCTCACCAACATTTGTTATTAGTGGATTTTTTGATAATGGCCATTCATACTGGCCAATCTCAGTATTGTTCTAATTTGCATATCTCTAATGGCCAGAGATGTTGAGCATTTCTTCATGTATTTATTGGCTGTTTGTACTTCTTCTTTTGAGAAGTGTCTATTCATTTCACTTGCCCATTTTTTGATTAGATCTTTTATAAAATTTTTTATATATTCTAGATATTGGTCTTCTGTCTGAGGAATAGCTGGCATTTTTCTTCCCATTTTGTAGGTTGTCTCTTCACTCTGTTGGTTGTTTCCTTTGTTGTACAGGAGCTTTTTAATTTGATATAATCCCATTTGTTGATTCTTGGTACTATTTCCTGTGCAATTGGGATTTTGTTGCGAAAGTCCTTGCCTATGCCTATGACTTCAAGAGCTATTTTTTTTTTTTGTACCAGGAACTGAACTCAGCACCTTGTGTTTTCAAGGCAGGCGCCAGAACCACTGAGCTAAATCCCCGGCTTTCAAGAGCTATTTTATTTTCCAGCAAGTTAAGTGTTTCTGTTTTAACATTTCGTTCTTTGATCTATTTTGATTTTAGTTTAGTATATGGTGAGACACATGGTCTAAATTCAATCATCTGCATGTGGATATAGCAGTTTTCCCAACACTATTTATAAAGAGGCTTTCTTTCAGTATATATTTTAGGCCCCTTTGTAAAAGTTCAAATAATTGAATGTGATTGAGGTTGTTTCTGCATCCTCTACTTTGTTCCATTGGTCCTCATTTCTGTTTTTGCACAGTACTATACTGTTTTTAGCACTGTAGTTTTGTAACAATACTTCAAGTCCAGGGTTGTGATACCTCCTGATTTGCTCTTGTTACCCTATTTTTTTGAAACAACTTATAGAATTTAATGGGTTTCATTGTGATAATTTCATACATGCATATATCATGTCTTTTTTTTTTTTTTGGTACTGGGGACTGAACTCGGGTCCTTCTGCTTGCGAGGCTGGTGGTGGAACCACTGAGCTAAATCCCCGGCCCCATGTATCATGTCTTGATCACATGAACCCACCATTCTTCTACCATCTTCCCCTTCCTCATTGGCCTTTCCTAGTCCCTAATAATTTATCTCCTACATTCAAATCATCTTTATTTAATAGTTTCTACATGTGAAATAAAGCACACAATGAGACATTTGTCTTTCAGTGTCTAGCTTATTTCTCTTGATATCCCCCAGTTCTGTAGATTTTTCTGAAAATGACCTGACTTTATTTTTTTCTTATGGCTGAACAATACTCCATTGTGTATATGCCTTATGTTGCTTATTCACTAATCTGTTGACAGGCACCTAGGCTGATTCCGTATCTTGGTTATTGTACATAGTGATATAATAAACATAAGTATGCAAGTATATCTTTTGAATGCTGACCTCATTTGCTTTGGATATATACCTAGGAGTGGGACAGATGAATCATAGTTCTATTCTCTTGAGAGTCTCCTTTTCTTTGCCTTTTTAAAATCTAAACTGAAACCTTGGGCTTGTGGACCCTTCCTCTTTAATCAAATTCAGTGGTGTCTCCAGATATCTTTGCTTCTATCTACATGTCATTACATTGTAACAATTGTTTGGTAATGCAATTGTACTTACATTGTGACTATTGTGATAATACAAGACATACTCATAATTATTCCAGGGATAGAACTTGGACATTGTGGGGGGTCATTATTTAGCATAACACAGTACCTTTCTCCCTGTCACCTTAATCTATCCATATCAATGTCATGTATATAATGTTCATCTATCTGATTGTCATTCACATATTCTTCTTTTTTTAATGTAAATAATATTAGCTTTAATATGAAAGAAAATAGGCAAAATTAGGTACATGATATAATATATAATGTTGGGATAATCTTGTCAAAATATGAGAAACATGCTCATCTACAAGTTGTGTGAAAACAAATCAACTTTGTCAAAAACACATGTTCACAAGTCCTGAAAATATTTATCTTCATATAAAATATGGCAGCAAATTCTTTTGTTACACAGAATACAGAGTATACACACCAAAACTTTAAAACAAGTAGTGGCAAAATCCTAATTAACAAAAAGCAATTAACAAAATTAAGTTTTTCAGTGGCCTATACCTCCAAATTGTAAAGACTAAACAAAAACTACACAAATACTAACTCTACTTGAAAGTTAAAAAGTACATTTTAATTCACCATGCTTAAGACACTATGTATTAAGCTCAAAGATACATAAAAATATCTATGTCAACTTAATATTTTTATATTACTCTCTGCAGATACACAATTCATATATTTAAGTGATTTACTGAAAAACAAATAATGTATGTACTTTAGGATATCTCTATCTGGGATTTTATTTTTGGAAATTTTACGGAGAAATATTGACCTCAAGCTTTCTGTATTAATTACTCCTACAGGTCTTATAAGAAATTTTCACAGGATTTTCAAAATAGGCTGACATATATAAAGTTTCTCTCCAGTGAGATTTCTTTCATGTATTTGACAATACATGTGTGTACTGAAAGCATTCCCACATTGCTTACATATATATGGTTTCTCCTTATGGTGAGTGTCTTTGGCAAACACCACAATTGCTGAAAGCTTTCCCACATTGCTTACATATATAGGGTTTCTCCCCTGTGTGAATTCCTTCATGTTGTTTACAACTATCTTGTGTACTAAAAGCTTTCCCACATTGCTTACATACATAAGTTTCTCCCCTGTGTGAATTCTTTCATGTATTTTACAATAATGTTGTGTACTAAAAACTTTCCCACATGGCTTACCTAAATAGGGCTTCTCCCCAGTGTGAATTTTTTCATCTATTTTACAATAATCTTGTGTACTAAAATCTTTCCCACACTGCTTACATACATAGGGTTTCTCCTCTGTGTGAATTCTTTCATGTATTTTACAACAACTTTGTGTATTAAAAGCTTTCCCACATTGCTTACATACACATGGTTTCTCCCTAGTATGAATTCTTTCATGTACCTTACAATAATCTTGTGTACTAAAAGTT